CCGACGACCACCCGAAATCATCCTGAGGCCCCCAGGACCTTAACCAAAAGCACAAACATAACCCAATACCTTATTCAAACTTGTTCCAATCATCAAAACGCCTCAAACAACATCAAATCTACCAAATCACATCGGATTCAAGCCTAAGTTTCTAAAATTCTTCCGAAATACGGTTTCGATCAAAAACCCAACCAAACCACGTTCGAATGACCTAAAATTTTACACACACATCCCAAATGATACGACAAAGATACTGCAACTCTCGGAATCCCATTCCGACCCCTATATCAAAATTCTCCTATCAACCGAAAATCGCCAAAATATCAACTTTGCCAATTCAAGCCTAAAACTACTCCAACCCTCCAAAACCCATTCCGATCGCACTCTTAAGCCATAAATCACCTCACGAAGCTAACCGAACCATCAAAACTCGCATCCGAGCCCTCTAACCCATAAGTCAACATCCAGTTGACTTTTCCAACTCAAACTCCCTTAAAAGAGACTAAGTATCTCAAACCTTATCAAAATCAATTCAGATTCGATCCGACCAACCCGATACCATAAAACATGGATAACGAAGCATAAAGAAGCAGAAATGGTGGAAACAAAGCGGTAACTCATGAGACGACTGGCCGGGTCGTCATATTTTTGTCTGGTGGCTGAAAGGTGAGTACTCTTCGTATTTCTTCTCCTTCTTTAGATTTGTGTGGCTTCATTAATGGACTGCAGCAGGCTCGACAACTTTTAGCTACTACCTAATGGTTTATATGTGAACTAATTTATTGTTCTATGAATCATCTACATCCACTTTTTTCCGCTGATTTAGTCAAAGCCTCACAGGATGCATTGTAATTTAATTATTTGACTGATTAGAAATTTCTTATAGTTGATTTTGGATATAGATACCTATTTTGCTGAAACCTTCAAAGTAGTTGCCGTCCAAGAGAGAATTGGATTTGAGTTTGACCTTGTTGAAATTTCATGCGCTTGCCCTGGTCTTGCACAATGGTTAATCTCACTCAGGGGTGTAGCTACCTTTGGTGAATGGGTTCAATTGAATCCCCTCAGGTGAAAAGTTACAATTTGAAAAAAGGATAAAAACAAATTTCTTTGTATATACCAACCATTGAGATGCCTTGACATAAGTTCATATCTTATTTATGACATTCTTACATTTTTTTGAATCCCCTTATTCAAAATTCGGACTCCACCGCTGATCGCTATTGGATGGATTGTGTGCATCATCTGTGCTCATTCTGTTCTTTTGATTTAGTCAGAGAATTCATTCTAACTTCACTATATTTACATTATCTGGTTGACTACTTAAGTATAATTCTTTTATAGTTGATTTAGGCTAGATTTTGATATCTTTGGAGGAATCTCCTGATTATTAAGCTTGTATTTTGCTATTGCTTACGACACAATCCACAGTGGTCGAAAGCTATAAAAAGACAACCTCCTGCAGATGGTGTGCAGAAATGAGTTGTAAAGCAAATTGATGGTTCATGAGTTATCCAAGTGTAAGAAGGAAGCTCTGTATTTGCGAATAAATATAACATCAATTGTCAGTACTCTAACATTCGTCTTTCACCTCCTCCTTTAGATCTAAATGACCTACTTATAGATTTCGTGATGAGTTTTTGATAAGCTTTCTCAACATTTTATAATGTTTACTTCCATCTCTATTTTTCTTATTCCAATTTTAGGCTCCTTTTTAGATCCTTGTAGTCTTAATGATAAATGAAAGTTAAATCAATCATGAATAAAAGTTAACATGATTATAAGATAAAGTACCATATAAATTGCACGAATAGAAAGAACAACCGGAAAAAAAACCTTTTCTATTCCTTACATTGCTATAGGAAGGAAGTCATACCCCTACCACTAGAAATTCTTTTAAATTATAGCTATCTACATCTCACTAGACAAAGATCAATTTCTTTCGACCTCACAAAAAAATAAAAAATATAAATAAAAACACATGTATACATATATTGTTGATATGGCTCTTCTATCTAGTTATACATGAGTTTGGATAGAGTTTTACGTCTTATTAGCAGAAATTATGACGCGTGGTATGAAATTTAGATTAGACGAAAGTCCGATACTATTAGGAATCAGAATTGAGTTTGTGCTCTGGAAAGTCCAGAATATATGATAACGACTATGTTTAAAGGGAGATTCAAATTGAATAAAGAGGGAACTTAAACACTTACTTAGGAAAAGTTTAAATGTTATACAAAGGGAGTTGATAGATATGTGTGAATTCGTTCTTTACAATGCATTTACCCTCATTCCATATTTACAAATTTTTGAAGCTCAAAGTTCTTATGTAATCTTCTAGCCGATGAATCAGCTCTCACTGCATGAATAGATCATTGTAGAATTTCACACCCCTCAGCATAATAGTGTCATCTGCAAAAACATCCATAATGTTAGTCATATCATTTTCAAAATCTCAGCTGATCCTCTAAGTATATTCAGGTATCAAAAAATTGAGTGTAGTAACAACCCAAAGTAATGTCAGTTGTAGATTAAATAACTAAAGTAGAAGTAGATCCTTTTTAGTATATTCCACAAATACTCACATTCTAAAACTAGATGTTTTCACTCCAAAATTACCTTCCAACTTTAGGTGCCTTCAAACAGCTCCTATAAAGCCTTCTTCTTTTATAAAGAGATAATAGATAAACATGGATTACTTCAACTTTTCTTACTCTATGTGAAAAAAGATACAGCGAGAATATTATCAGTCGGACAGAGAAACTGCTACTTTATCTGATTCACAAATGAAATAATAGCAACTAAAGGTCAGAGTATTTACAATCAGATTGAGGACTTACTAATTGCTCCATAAGGAGTCATTGACTTGTAATTAAAGCTGAATGACATAGTGAGGTTATCAAAGTTTAGATGTTGGACAACTAAGTTCCATTGTGTATAATTTATTCGGTAATTGAAGTTTGTTATAGTAATCTTCACTCTCCAATATTCCTTGTAATCGAGTTTCATATGCCAATGAATGCACACACATGCTTTGTGCACTATACCAAAAAAATGTTATTCTATTTTGAGAATAGAGATTCTACTTAGCTAGATGCCACCAAAAAAGAGGGGCATGCTTTAAATCGAACCACAAGGTTAAGTTTCTCATAATGTTACTCAAGACAGGAGAGTCGAGTGAACCAAAATGTGAAGCTGTTTATATTAAATATTGCGCTTGCATTTGAAATGAGCAATGATTCTTGGTCATTTATGTTTTCGCTAATGAGCCAGAATGATATTTTAAGTGGTTAGTATCTTTACTTTATAAAATCAAAGAGGAAATATGATGGTAGTATCTACATTCTTTTTACTCCATGCATTTTATTCTTGATGGACACATTTATTTTGGGTCCATTACAATGGTCGACCGCTATTAATATCCAGATAGTTTGTTATTTTCTTAACTTGTAAAATACATTTTGAAATAATAGGGGTATATTAGTGGAGGGAAGGGACAAAGAGCTGCAGTGAGAGAGGAATCTTTGTAGTCCTGCTTTTGCGAAACATAAGATTGTATCCCCTCTCTACGTCTTATTATTCACCATTTTTCTTCCATACCTTTATTTGAAAAGATGTGTAAATGTTTCCTAGATTTCTTCTTAAGAATGATAGTAACATCTCAAATTCAATTACTCTTACTTGATTTTTGTTTATGTTACTTTGGATGATCATGAGGTTTCGGGAGCTATCTGTTTGGCACGAGTGAAGTTGTTGCCGAACAGACAGTTGAAGCTAATAATGCAGCTAATATTAAGAACCCCTCTTTGGGATGGATGATAGGGTTTCTTTTTTGTTGTTAGCTTTCTTGGGCTTTTCTCGATGGTTCCTCTTCGTAAGTTATATTCCTATCTCAGGATAGACCTTAAGATTTGTTTAAGACACAGATCAACACACTAGAGCTTTGTGTAGGGAAAATGCATAAGTACCCCCCTGACCTATACTCGAAGTCCCAACTACACAATTTTTCTTTGCGGAAATCCTATTACCCCCCTAAACTTATTTTAAATGGAATTATTTGCACCCTTAACACGACAATCAAACTCTTGGCAAGCGGTGAGCTACACGCGTCCCCACATGTATTTTTAGTACTTTTTTTATTCTTTCTTCTTTTTCTTATCCTTTTTTCTTATTTCTTATTATTCTCAATTTTTTTGGTTATTTCATTCTTTTTCTTTTTGTTTTGGTCACCGGTGGCATAAAATGGTGGTCGTCGGAATTTCACAAACACCATTTTTTCCAATAAATTATTTTTTTCGGCAATAAATTTTTACCCCGATCTAAGTGTGTTTTGTTTTTTATATATATATAATTTTTCTTGAAAGTGTAATTTATGTGTGGGAGGAAGAGCAAAAGAAATAAAAACGAATATATAAGCTGAGAAAACTTTTTCCAGTTAAAATTTCAATACATCATTTTTTTCCAGCATTGGAAGGTTTTCCGATGATGAATTTTTCCCCCCAAATCTGAGTGTATTTTGCTTATGAATAGATCTTTTTGAGAGTTTAATTTGTGTGTGAAAAGAAAAAATGAAAGAATAAGGTTAGACAAAGTCGCCGGTGAATGAATATTCGCCGGAATTAGAGAAGAAACGAAAAAAAAAGTAAAAGAAAAAAGAATAAGAAAAAGGAAAAGGAAAAGAAAAGGAAAAAAAGTACGAAAAAATGGTAAAAAGGAATAAAAAATAATCTGAAAATCGTTTTTTCTTGCTTCTCACTCTCCTTTGGGAAGGGTGCAAATAATTCCATTTAAAATAAGTTTAGGGGAGTAATATGATTCTCGCAAAGAAAAAGTGTGTAGTTGGGAATACGGCTATAGGTCAGGGGTATTTATGCATTCTCTCCTTTGTGTACATAGTACTTGAATGACATGTTGACACTTGATATATTCATTCTTATTTTATTATTTTAAACTTTATCTGATGATGCAAAACTATATTTCAGATTATGATCTTAGACTTCTAACTGACTTATCTAAGTGGGGCACTGCAATTGCTCATCTTATCAACAGTTTCCATATGCCACAAGGAGCTAAGCTAGAAAACTAAGAATATTACCCATTTAGTAAATTCTGTCAGCATTAGTACATATGATATGATTACAATTTTATCGTTTCTTTATAATCAATCGCTACAGGAAACAAGTAAAAGCTCTAGGAAATCTCTAACCTTCAGCTTCCTATGGGGTGTCTTCCAATGATTTTTCACTGCTGGGGATGACTGTGGATTTGCGTGTTTTCCAACGTTCAATCTTAAAAGCCTATGAGAACAGGTAGATTCTAATTCCAAATTAGGATTCATTCTTTTTCTCTTTGCTCTTGGACCAGGTAATACTAACATGGTTATGTCACTTACTGGATTAAGTTATAGATTTGCTAGATGCAAGAAAGTGGCAGCAAAGGTTAGACAATTTTGTGCTTCTAATGATCAAAGTTTTTGAATATTGTTGCAACTAAGTCATTTTCTTAATATTCCATTGATGACTTATGCCTCACTTGAAATATAAAATATACATTACTATAGCTAAATTCCAAAACAATGTCCTTCTTGCTCAAAAAATTCTGTAAAACTTATTGATTCTTTAGTTCCCAGTACTTAAAAGAATGACCCATGAGGTTGGGTGCTCAAAATGTTATTTAGTAAATCAGAAGTCTCTATTCGTCTTACCGTCAATTAATTTCTAAAGTTCAGACATGGAAGATTGTAAAGGGAATCCAATTGCCTTGCAGGCTCCATCTCCATTAAAGTATTAGTCAATGTTTCATTCCGTTGATTAGATATGTAGAATACAACATTGAAGATAAACTCCACTCTATGAATCTATAAGAAGAAAGGTTGCCCGGGTCAGAGAGAACCTTTTCAACAATATAGATTTCATATCCAAAATGCTTGGAAAGAACCTTCAATATCTAATCCCATGTGGAATCCGTCCTAAGAATCCATATAGTTAATATAAGACCTTTATATTTGTTAAACACCGACTGCATAGATTATATAAAACTGTTTCTATCTCCAAAGCAAATTGAATATCTGACCGACAGGGCTAGCCAAAGCAATGTTGCTAATTTGAAGAAATTGAAGAATGGGATAAGAAATAGATAGATCCCCATCTCTTAAGATAGGGCAAGGACATGACTGTTGAAGATAAATTAATAAATAAGTTGTGTGTCAAATTCCACACAGATGCTAATTTGATTTACTGCACTTATTGTGGCTCATTTATACATGGTTTAGCCATGACTATATTAAAAATACCAACCACACATAGTAGCTAATTGAATCCACATTGCCGGTTCAGTATTCCTTATTGCTATTGCATATTTAATCTACACAAAAGTAGCATCGCAAAGAAAAATATTGTGAGGCTGACTGCACTGCAATTAAAAAGTTGACACAACATTTGTTGGGGCATGCGTCATGTGTAACTATATGGTTTTACTGAACTGGCTCAGTTAATTGTATATTTACATCCCTTCTTTATTCTTCTTGGTGACATTACTAAAATTATATCGGTGTTTCTGTACAGTGCCACTTATTCTTTATTCCTTTTCCTGTAGTAAGCAGCCTACAATCTTGACGTAATGGGAGGACTTCACTCAGATTGTCGGAAGCACCCTAGCTGCACAGGCTGCTAAATATCCGTAATTATAGCAAAACGAGTTGCACAAACCAACTACGCTGGTATGCAAAGGATACAGCTTTCTTTTTATCCGTAGAGAACTGCTTTACTAACAAAATTTAAACAATATAGGATTACATTGTCGACAAGGTACTACCCGGTCATACTGATAAATCCACCATATTCCTAAGTTGGAGAACTTATGAACTGGTATGAAATAATAAATATTAATGTAATCGAGTTTTATATTTCATTAATTAGTTCATGCGAATGAAACATATGCAGAAAGACATACAATTAGCAAGCTATAAGTTAAAACTTGCATTTTCAGTTAAATAACAATTTGACCATATGTATCCAGAACTTCATACAACAATTTTAACTCATTCTAACTATACATGGTGTTTTATTGATCCTAAAAGCCTTGTACATGTACAGTGTTGGAGACAAGGAAGATATAATGGCAAGGTACAGATGGCCAAGTTCTCCATAAATAGCTTCATCACTTGTACTTGTACCAGTACATGATAACATAGTACCAATTGCAAAGATTCAGCTGCAGTCTCCTGTATGTATTACATACATGCAAATATATGTGAGATATTTTAGGGTTACAGTTACAACTCAACAAATCTACTTCTATCCCCCTTCACAGATACATCATCGGAGGTAAAATGTTGCTACTGGCTACTGACCAAAAGCTCTATGAACTATTATGTTCCCACTGCGGGTAGTAATACAGAACCGCTGTAAGGAGAATTATTCATTGTGCGAGCTGCAATAGACGTGCGATGTTAATACCCAGGTATCACAATTTGAATTCCAAGCTTGCTAATATCTGTTAATGTAACATATTCAAATCCAAATGTTTTCTTCTTCAATTCACTTTATGCAAATCAAATGACAAACAATAACTTGCATATCATGGCCTGCTTTGATGTATATTTCCAGATTGCATTGGAACAGTTGTTGCAACCTTATCATGCCAATTAGGAGAGAAATTTCTTGAAATTACCTCTGCAAAAATGTATGAAATAATCTGTGTAAATGTATGTTAGTGAGAATAAGAGACTTCATTAGTTATTTCGAGAATTCATTATACTTTAGAAAAACATTCTACCCTTGTTGAGATGCCATTGCAATGAAAAGCATGACAGACTATAGTCTCGGCTAAAGAGCTTTCACAACCCATGATGTTATTGTTTAGGTTTTCTTGGTTTACTGCCAAATGCAAACTTGATTTGGGCCAAAGGTGCACCTTTAAGTTATAACTCAGTAAACATACAAAAGAGCTATTTTACTCGTGTAAAGTCAATTTTTAAATAGAAAAATCTAACATACACATTCAAAATCAACATGTGCACCCTGCAGTTTTGAGGTGAGAAATCAAATAATTCAAGTCAAGAAAATGCTACTGTTGATAAGATATTTGAAACATGAAATCTTAAAATTTTCAGCTTGGTTTTGCTTTGTATGTTCGTTTTGTATATTTAGATGTGCAAATGAAATAGAGTAATGCTATATTTTGTTTTTTAATAGAGTAATGCTATATACATACTTTATCAAACTAATTCAATCTCTTAAAAAGCTTGGAAATATTCTGGAAGAACAAATTTAATGTCGCAAACGATATTACTACCCAAATGGGTAAGTTTAATAAGACACTAATTTTACATCACATATTAAACTTCGTGTAGCAGAAGGCGTACATTTTAAGCTTCTCACAAGATCTCTCCAATGAGTCAATCGGGACGATACCTCAAATAACAAATCATTACCTGAAATTCATACATCTCAATTTCATAAATTGGCCGTACGACATACTAGAAATTATCAGGTTCGGGCCCGGGCTCAGCACAGGCCATTCCTCACTAGTCTTAGTATAAAGAAAACCTAAACAATAAATAATATAACATGTCAGAAATTAATAGACACAGGCTAAACAAACCAAATCCAAACACAATTGGAAAGCAAATTACATTCTGATGACTTCACACTTAATTAATAAGGAAAGTCTTAAAGCAAACTAATTCTGATGACTTCGTAATTAGTTAAATTAAGGAAAGTTTTTATAACCAAAATTTTAGCTGATTTTAAAGTGTAAAATATTAAAAAAGAAGAAGTTAAATGACTGTTTTATCCAGTGTAAAATCTATTTTTAAAGGATAAAAAAGGCGAGCGACATTTCGCTAAGGGCCTTCGTACTTTTAATATAGTATAGATAATTGCATATTTTGCAATAATAGCCCATACATATGCATAACTACATTATCTATACAAAAAATGACTTTTTATATTTTTATAATGTTAAGTAATTATTTTAAATCATCTTCATGAATAAAACATTTCTATCACTTACTTAACTATTTTTACAAATTATTTTATTGATAAATTGGGTATTTAACAAATAGCCTTTTAATTGCGTCAAGATTCGGACCCCCCAGCCCAATTCAAATTAAACCATTAGCCCACTCCGCCCAGCCCAAATTAAATAACCCCTACCCGACCCAAACCTCCTCTAATCGTGGCCGTTGATCTCTGAGATCAACGGTCCATGTTTCCCCTTTCCATTTTTCATCCAAATGACCCCCCAAACCCTACCCATTCTCCAGAGACTGCCGCTCCCAAGTGCTCTCGTCCTCTCTTCTCTCTCAGACACCCCAAACCCTAGAAGCACCGTCACCCCAAAAATCTCCCAAACCCCTTCGATCCCTGACTAGATATGGGGTTATTTGGTGTTTTGCTACCCTATCTAACCTGCTACCTCTACTGGTTGTTCTATTCTTGCTGTTTTCTGAGGGAATCTCGAAGAGATTCGACTCAGAGTCGACCTAGGCTCTTCGTTTTCTTATGAACCCGCCTTGTGTTCATCAATGTTTGTGAGTATTGTTAATTTTGTGGCTGTGGTTAGATTTGTCCTTTACCCCGGCCCCTTTTCTCAAAAACCATCATCTTTTTAACTTGAATCTGTTCAGATCCTTGTAGGTCTGGAGAATTTTGAGTTTATCCAGTAGTTTTCTTTAAAAATCTCTTGTTCTCTTTATCGTTAATCGATTTAACATCCCTCTAGATTAGGGTTTCGCTTTCTTATTATTTTCTGTTTAGATCTTTGTAGATCTGAAACGATTTCGAGTTTCTATAGCATTATTCTTTAAAGATCTTCTGTTTTCCTTACTGTTAATCGATCCTAATGTTCTTTAAGAACTAGGATTTCAGTTCGTTCTGTTTCTGCAAAACGTTTCTAAAAGATTCCTATGTGTTTGATTTTCCTTTTTTACTAATTCATCCATGACTACATTCCGGTCTTTAACTTGTTTGATTACTTCATTGTTCGCTTCAATATTTTCCCCTTATTCTTGAGTAATTGATTGATTATCTAAACTGTCTAGGATTTGAAATTGCTTTGTTTTACTGAGGTGATTACTTCCTATAATTTTGTCTACTTTCCTTATTTTGGGACTCCTAATTGATACTACTTGCCTTAATTGTTCCTATTAAGCTTAATTTATGGGTTATTGTCTTACCAACCCCAGATTGGCCTCCATTTACTTGAGTTACCTTATTTGTGTAACTAATTACCTTGTTACTTGCCGAATATTTAGTGTTCTAACTATAATTGTCTATCAGACTTATCACTTACCTCTTTTAAACCTCAATTCCCTGTTAATTTTGAACATAACCCCATGATTCTGCTTATTGATTGATCCTGTTAAGCCTAATTGTCTAACTAATTGTTCTCTTTGCCTTATTTGTAAACCTTTAACCTTCTTTACCTTATTTACTTTACTCTACTCAATGCTATATAAGCCACACTCTTTTTCTAAACACACACACACATACACATACATAGAGAAACACACAAAATTCTTTCTCTTATCCTCCATCACAATCTGCCTACTCTTTGTTTGTTGCACTGTCTAGCCGGCTGAAAGCCAAGGCTAGACTCTTGGATCTTGTTTGCTTTACTTTCCTCTTACTATCTCTTAACTGGTATGTCTTCACTCCTGCTATTATGTCTACTTCTATGTGATTAAACTTGTGTACTTCCTATTTTCAGTATGTCTATTTCTATGTAATGAGACCTATGTGCTTCATGTTATTATTCTTGATCAACATGCCTACTTATATGTGATTAGACCTAGATGATTTCTGTTTTCAGTATGTCAGCATGTCTACTTCTATTAACTAGACCTATGTGCTTCCTGCTTTCAGCATGTCTACATATTTGCTTATATGTAAATTAGACCTATGTCTACTTATTTCTCAACTAGCATGTGCTTCCTGTCCAGTTTTAAATATTCACCCATAGCAGGTTCCTGATTAGTTCTTGATTTCTATGCTTCTAACTTCTGCTACCTTTCTGCATGACTGTCTGAATAGTAATCTGACCCCAGCCTGATGTTCTTTGTTTAATACATGTCCATATGCCCATCTAGTAGTAATTAATGAACTAAGTTGAATCTAGGCAATGTGAAACTTTGCTTGAAGTGATTGTGATCCTGTTTTTATCTACTGTTTGATCGCTAGAACCTTTGTTTGAATCCTAAGTGTTGAAATGATTCTGTTTGTTCCCATTTATCCCAGAAAATCCAAACTGTTTTCAACTCGTACTCTTAGAACATCTAGGGTCCTGCCCCTCCAGTGTGAGCACTACCTAGGAGTCCATGAGAATCCTCTGAACTTTGACACACTGGGCTGGCTCTCCAAAACTTGCTCACAAAGGTGTTTCTTTAAAAGTTTTCTGGTGTGAGCATTGCTCGGGATCTCTGAGGCCCTTGGAAACTTTGACATACCAGGAGACCATTGGGTGTACTATGAGAATATTGGCATATTCAGAATTGGTTGAAGACCTGGCTTCCAGGATTATTTTTGGGCCTATCCAGACTCCTTATAGTACAGTAGTTTCATTTTGTAATTCATTTATATTTGGTTTGTAATAATATTTTCTTGTAAAATAGATATTGGTGTTGTTAGTAAAACTGGGAGGGATTCTTATATATATATTCTATTGGGAACAGGTAGAAATCATGCCTATAGGTTGCTGCGATATTTGTTTATGTGCATTAGAATCAATGCCTATAAGACTCATCTAATTCCTTAAATCTTGAATTTTCATCACTAGAAAACCTACTTCTAAGTCGTTACTCTGTGACGACCCGGCCAGTCATCTCATGAGTATCGCTCTGTTTCCCCCATTTCAGCTTCTTTACGCTTTGTTATCCGTATTTTATGTGATCGAGTTGATTAGTTCGAGTTCGGAGAGGATTTTGTAAGAAATGAGACACTTAGTCTCTTTTAAGAAGGCTTAAGTTGGAAAAGTCAACCGGATGTTGACTTATGTATTAGAAGGCTCGGAAGTGAGTTCCGATGGTTCGGTTAGCTTCGGGAGGTGATTTGTGACTTAGGAGCGCGATCGGAATGGGTTTTGGAGTTGTAGAGAAGATTTAGGCTTGAATTGGCGAAATTGATATTTTGGCAAATTCCGGTTGATAGGCGAGATTTTGATATAGGGGTCGGAATGGAATTCCGAGAGTTGCAGTAGCTTCGATGTGTCATTTGGGATGTGTGTGCAAAATTTCAGGTCACTCGAACAAGATTCGATAGACCTTTTGATCGAAAGCATAATTTAAGAGTTCTTAGGCTTGAATCCTATGTTAAATTGGTGATTTGATGTTGTTGGAAGCATTTCGAAATGTTGAACAAGTTTGAACGATGTCATGGGATGTGTTGATACAATTAGTTTGAAATTTCGGGGGTCCCGGGTAGGTTCTGGGATGTTTTAGGCCGAAAATCATAGTTGCAACAGGTCCACGAGGGTTGCAGGCCCCAGAACTCACCTACGCGGTCCGCACAAAAATGAGTGCGCCCGTGGTGAATGCTGTGCGGACCGTACAAAAGCGGGCGCGGGCGCGGTAGGCATCGCGCGGACCGTACAAAAGTGGGCGCGGCCGCAGTGAAGAACCTTCCCGCTGGTCCAACTTCGGAAGCTCATATCATTTGATATACAAGGAATTTTGAGGTAATTCAAAAACAAAAGTTATAGCCCTTTGTATCTAGTTTCCAGAAAGGTAAATATATCGCAATTTGGACATCTGTAGAAAAAGTTATGGCCAAAATACTAAAGCCTGTCACTGCAGAGGAAGGCATGTGTGGCCGCGGTTGTGTTTGCGCGGGCCGCGGTCGTTTTGGTGCGGCCCGCGGTAGCTGAAATCTGAGGGGGTACCTATAAATATGAGGTTTTGGGTTTTATTTAATATTTTAACCTAGAAAGCTCGAATTGTAGCGATTTTTCGAAGGTTTTTCAAGAAATTCATCGGGGTAAGTGATTTTAACTCAGATTTGGCTAGAATACATGAATCTATCACTGAATTCATCATTTAATTCGTGATTTGGGATGGAATTTGGGAAGAAAATTATGAAATCTTTCAAAAATGTAAAATGATGATTTGAAGGACCAAATGATATCGGAATTGGATAATTTTGGTATGGTTAGACTCGTGAGGGTATGTGGATTCTAAAAATGTAATTTTACCCGATTCCGAGATGTGGGCCTGAGGCTCGGGTTTTGCTAATTTCGGAATTTTTGATATTTTTCAAATGTTTTCGTTTGGGATTTGTTCCCTTAGCATATTGTGACGTATTCGTTCTGATTTTGGATAGATTCGACGCGCGTGGAGGCCAATTTGAGAGGCAAGGGCATAGCGAGCTAGAGTTTTGGCCAGTTTGAGGTGAGTAATGATTTTAAATGATGTCCTGAGGGTTTGAAACCCCGGATTTGCACAACGTAGTGCTATACTAAGTTGAGATACACGTTATGTGACGAGCGTGAGGTTCAATGCTATGGGGATTGTGACTTGGTCCATCCCGAATGATATTTTACTGCATTTTTGATTGAGACATATACTTTTTTATTGTGAATTGGGCTTGTTGCCATGCTTGGGGCCTTGTGCCGACCTGTAGAACCCTTAGGGGATTTTTGATTGGTTTTCCTCAGTTATTTTGTTAAAGAATTTATATCCTCAGTCATGTTTCCAATTTCTTAAGAATGATATGAACCAGATTTTTGAAATGTTAATCATAAATAGAAAGAGGTATGAGGGCTGAGATCCCGACCGTACATTATGCCCGAGAGGCTGTGATTTTTAAATGACTGAGAGGGGTCGAGGACCCAATAGTGAGGATATTTTATATAATATGGATTGGGTTGCGCGCCGCAACAGATATATATTTTATATGATATGGATCGGGCTGTGCGCCGTAGCAGATATATAATTTATATGATATGGATCGGGATGCGTGCTGCAGCAGATATATATAATATACATATTATGGATCGGGCTGCGGGATCGGGCTGCACGCCGCAGCAATTTTATAGCGCTTGGGCTGAAGGAGCCCCTCCAGAGTCTGCACACCCCCAGTGAGCGCATTCGACTATTATTATTATGGATCGGGCTGTACGTCATAGAGATATACGGATCGGGCTGCACGCTGTAGCGGTATATATATATTTATTGATTCGGTTATCGTGAGAAGTATATGAATTGAGAACTGAGGATAAGAACGAATAAATGAACTGAAATGCTTGAGGAATTGATTCATACTGATTATATCTGTTTTACCTGGTTTAAAGAATTTCACATGTTTTCCTCATTCGCTGCTGCTTAAATGATTTTACTGTTTTGGTATAGAACTGCTTAGTGCCTTTACGTGATTTCATACTATCAACCATTATTTATTGTTGTTACTCACTAGGTCGGAGTACTCACATTACTCCCTGCACCGTATGTGCAGGCACATGTATTCCTGAGGCATAGAGCGAGCTTTCCTGCCGTTCTGTTTTCATCGGAGTTATCGAGGTAGCTGCATGGCGTTCGCAGACCCGATTTCTCCTTCTATCTCCACTTATTATTCCACATTTTAAACATATTTCTGTATTAGATTGTTGAAACCTTAAGGCTCAGACTTGTGACACCGGATCAGTGGGCTATTTTACAGAGATTTTTCGTGATTATGGTTTTCGTACATTTCATCCGTTAAATTCATGCTTCTATTTATATTAAATTGGTGTTAAATCCCGAAAATTGGTATTGAATTATAAAGAAAGAGATTGTGAGATGTTAATTGGTCGGGCTTGCCTAGCATTATGTTGGGCGCCATCACGGCCTGGGTTGGGGTCGTGACATACTCAATTTTGCATCGATAATCATGTCTTCAAACCTACATGTGTGCATTAGAAATCATGTTTCTAGGAATTTCCTTGTTGATGTCCGCGTGGCAATTGATTGATGCTTTACTCGCCTAGAAATCATGCCTATAGGAAACACATATAGAAATTAGTCTTGACATTTAGTTATTCATGCAAATAAGTGTTAAAATTAATTCCTGCATTTAGATACCATGCCTGTAAGGTTTTAAATCAATTCCTGCATTTAGATACCATGTCTAAAGGTTGTAAAATCAGCTTTGCATACTAGAAATCATGCCAATAAGATTGAAATCATTTTTGCATTTAAACGCTATGCCTATAAGGTTTTTGAAAGTTACTGCACTTAGAAATCATGCCTATAGGGTTTAAGATAAAATCCGCCGCTATAATCAGTAATTACTTTACAGCTTAGACACCCAGTTTATAAAAATCATGTCCAGTTATCATTTAGGCAATCATGTAGGTTGGCTGAGTCTTGGGTTTTAAAACTGCTATTTTCCTACTGCTTGAAATTGCCCAGATTCAGGAAGTAATAAAATCAGTAGGCAAACTGATTAGGTATTTACTGCCCCGCCCTAATAAAATTGCTGCATATGTTGTGCTCATATATATATATATCCTGCTATAGGACCTTTAAATCGTTTAAAACTGTTTGTTTGAGGCGTGCAATTGTTTGTCTATTCGCGGAGGTAAATATGAGCCTTTAATTGCATTTGTATATGATAACCTTATCTGTCTTTTGTTTGTCGCTTAGTTTTCTCTTTTTAAACAACATAGGCAAGTCTAGAACTTCCTTAAATAGAGGTCCTAAATACCTTCAGGGCCACATGCAAGGGACGGGTAATGCAAGCATAAGCCACGTACTGGATACTAGTAGAGCGCTTAGGTAACGATAATCAAGGGGAGGGTAATAGGGTAGTAAAGGATATGATGACCTGTGCGCCAAAGCTATGTGTAGCACCCCAACATGGGGATTATTACCAAGTATTTCACAGAAGTGATCCTATAGGCTAAAAACCCTAGGATCCCTTTTACTCCTTGTTTTAAACGTAATATCTATTTGTCCAAATTGCTTTGTTTGCTTATAAGACTAATTCACCTAATTTGAGTTTGGCTGGGACCCACTGTTGTGGACCTCGAGGGGTGCCTAACACCTTCCCTCAAGGTTATTTTGAGCCCTTACCCGATCTCTGGTAATGCAAACCGGTTTATAAGTTATTTGCTTTAGGTGCTCTAACACACCTTAAATCTGTTAGGTGGCGACTCTTCAAATTCCATACCCAAATTCCCAAAAGGAAATGAGTTGTCCCAAATAATATTGAAACCCGGACTCTGCGAGAAAAAAGGTGGAGCGACAACCAGTTCTGAGGTCTTTCAAAATGAAGAGAATGCCCCAAGTGACTTGCTTGGGGCAATATATATTGGCGATTCGTCGCCCCTCCCCACATTTTTTGAGGGGCAAATTCAGGAAGCCATGCTATGGAGACCTTCGAGGACCTTTTATGTGGTTGCTTCACGGGAGTCGAAGATACTACCGCCCTGGGTGATGCATCGAGTCTCTTCGATGAGGCTTAATGATTTCTGAGCCAGGTAAGCCTTAGTTCCCTTCATCAATATTACGCTTACATTTATTTCTTCTTGCCTGATTTCCTTTCTTTATTCATAGGCCTTGACACTTCGTCGGGAAGCGTTTTCTAAATCTGTTGCAGAGCTGAGCCGGTGTGAAGCCGATCTTAAAAAGCTCATGG